ATAAGAACACAAACTACAAACTAGGAAAATATAATAATTTGGAATAGATATACATGAATGTATATGTGGTCTTCAAAATACAAAGAACTTACTCATTACTTTTGTTAATTCAAAATAACATTTAAACATCCAGCATTAATCTTAAAGGAAAATCATTATTAATATCACAATAATATTTTGCTATATTTAACTTGCATTGAAAGATCATTATTTTATTGTGTTAATTTTTCTACCCACAGAAAACATGTTTTTGCTCACTTTGGAATATCACTTTAGTGATATTTAGTGAAAGTATAACTTTCTATTTCCAGTGTTTTCTATAACATCCAAACAGCTAACAGCAAGAACTGAATCAATTTCTTGTATTACATCAATGTATATGCATAGGGAATCTGAACATAGAATTTATTGGAAAAAATATTGCTGGGCAAGCTTTTAATTTCTTCAAAATCTTTCCACTTAAAACACTGCCCTCTGAGCTTTGCCACTAAAGTTGGTAATATGGACCAATTTGTTTATCCCTCCCACAAAGACAATCTAAAAAAAGACAGTCAATATAATTTAATTTTAACTGAATATGCCACCTATGAATTATAGTCCATAGTTAATTCTTGATGATTTATTAAAATAGTTTTGGAAGGAATTCAATTATACAGAATGTTGTAATAAGATTCATGACGATCAAACCCACATCATCCTTCTCGAAATATTTGCAGGCGACCCTCTTGTTTTATAAAAATGTTTATGAGATTCATTTTCCATTTTTAAAAAAGTAGACATACACTATTTTCTGAACATTTCAATTTGATTTACTCAGTTAGCTACATATTTTATGAAGTAATGCAACTATTATATTTGCAAAATCTACTCATTAGTCAAAAATTGGCATTTATTATTAAAGCATAACTGTATAAAATATTCTATCTTTAAATTCCATGATTTTTAGCAATTTATAAACCTGAAACGTTTACACTTTTAAACTGGCAAAGAGTATAAGTTTGGAGGCAAATATTGTCTTTGTTTTCCCCAATCTCTAGAGTGTATTTTAAATATGAATTTAGATGGCAGAAGTTTTTTTTACTGCCAGAAAGGAACAAATGCATTCAGGAAGCTAACAAACTTTAATTATAAGCACCACTGCAATCGGACTTGGAGACTGACAGCTTCTTCTGCTGTTTCTTTGTTTCATCTAGTACAGTGATGGCTAATCTTTTTGGCACTGAGTACCCAAAGTGTGCACACACATCCCCCAAATGTAATGCGCGCACATCCCTGTGCATGCTCCCATGCGTTCACCCCGTCCCATGCACACACATCTCCTGTGCACTCGTCCCCATGCATGATGAGTCTCCCAGAGTCCCAGGGACAGGGCGCGATTGTCCGTTCACGCCCGGTCCCGGGTTGCCTGCAAAAGCCAGCAGGCAAGGTTTCTGGGTCCAACAAAGAGGCCATGGGCAGGACTTCCTTTCCTCTCTCTTTTGGGGGAAGGAAAGGGCCCAGCTGGGAACTTCAAGCAGCTGTGGGAGAGGTGAGCTGCAGGAAAGGTGAGCCAGCCCACCCTGGCTGGCTCACTTTTCCCTCTGTCCAGCTGCGGGAGGAAGTCCCAGGTAGTCAGGAAAGCCCAAACTGCTGCCTAGCCCAGAGCTGCCAGTAGGATGGGCGAGGCAGCCTCTCAACTGCCTGCAAACTTACCTCCCTCCTATAGCTGGTGGCAGAGGGAAAGGTGAGCCAGCAGGGCATGCATAAGCGCACCAACGTGCCTACCGTCCCTGTCCTATTGTTTCTTTTTTATTTTTCTTATATGTATCCATTTCATGTATCCATTACTATGTTTATACTTATACCTGTTATCTTATAATGGCTTGACAAAATAAATAAAATTAAATAAATAAATCTTGTCCCCTGCTCAGATTCTCTGCAGCTGGGGGTGGGGGTAGCCAACCAGAAAGCATGAGGCTTACGCCGCCCACATCGCCCCTCTGCCAGCTGCCCCTCCCTCAGACCGAGCATTTTAGCTGAGTGCGGGCTGCCACAATGCAAGCTCCACGGGCTGGAAGATCCGCTCTCACGAGGCTTGACTCACAACATTCTCACAATGGTGGTCCGCATTCAGTCAAAGTGCACAGGCCGGCAGGCAACAGAGGGAAGGGGCGGCAGGCAAGGGGCGATGCGGGAGGCATAGCATCATGCTCCCTGGTCGCCTCCCCCAACCCCGCCCCTAGCAGGCAAAACCCAGCAGCTGTGGAGAATCCAGGTGGGACTCAAGCGGTGACAGGTCAGCCCTGGCTCACCTTCCTCTTGGCCACCAGCAAGCCAGGCAAGTGGGACTGGGGGGAAGCTTGCTAAGCCACAAGTGCCGCATGGAGCCGTGGCGCTGGTGGCTAAGCAAGCCAGGCAAGTGGGGTGAGCTAGGGAAGCTAGGCCACACATGCTGCATGGAGCCATGGCACTGGTGGCTAAGCAAGCCAGGCAAGTGGCGGGGAAGCTTGCTAGGCCACGAGTGCTGCATGGAGCCACAGCGCTGGTGGCTAAGCAAGCCAGTCAAGTGGGGGGAGGGAAGCTTGCTAGGCCATGAGTGCCACATGGAGCTGTGGTGCTGGTGGCTAAGCAAGTCAGGCAAGTGGGGTGGGAAGCTTGCTAGGACGCGAGTGTTGAGGGTGGCGGTGGCATGGCGGTGGCGGCCTAGGGCGGCCCGGGTGTCAGGACTCAACCGGGGCTTGTGGCAGCAGTGGCAGCAAGGGTGAGGGTGGCATCAGTGGTGCAGTGGTGGTGGCCTAGGCCAGCCCAGGAGTCGGGACTCAACTGGGGTTGGAGTCAGCAGCGTCATTTAGGCAACCGGGGCTTGCAAAGCCGCACTCATCTAGGGAGATCAGATGGTGGAAGGCAGGCAGCGATGGCTGGCTGGCTGGCTGACTGCTGCTGCTGCTGAAAGCGATGGCAGTGGGTATGAAAATGTGGGAAGCGAGCGCACATGTGCTATAAGGAGTGAGTGGGCAGGGCAGGGGGGGAGAATGCCATCAGCTATTATTGCACATGTATGAGATGTCGTGCATGCGCAATAATGACTGACTGAGCAGGGAACGGAGGAGGGGCAGAGAGGGGTGGGGCCAGCCAGGGGCCTGTTTTACCGGTTCGCTGAACTACCGGGAACGGGAACAACTGATTCTACCGAACTAGTGCAACCGGTAGAATCCCACTCCTGGTGCTAACTTTGTAGAGAAGAGAGACAGAAGTTCTAGAAGATGTGGTTTGAAACTGAAAAATATTTTTAAAGCTTTGAGTATTATACAATTTCACTACTCCATCCTTACAACCACCCTTTTAGTTCCTCCATTCTGTACTAACCTAATTCTTCACTGCCACTTTGACTATTTTTTAAAAAAACAAATTCGACTCCTGATGACATCAGGCTTCAATTATCTTGGTAACAGTGATAAAGTGGTTTGTCGTTGCCCTCTTTCATCATATAATTTTTAAAATAACCATTGAAAACCTTCTCTTTGTGGTCAGAATTGTTCCAAAGAGATGTAATTTATCCCCCAAAATTAGTAAACACAATTTACATTCATTTGTATAATTTATTCCAGGCCCAGAACTGAAACTGAAGACCCTAAGATTGATTTCATATGCCTTCAAAAATGCACAAACTTGTCTAGAAGATTAATAGATTGATATAGAATACAATATAAACAATATATAACCATTGGATGAATGTATAATATATATTTATAATAAAATCTAGAATATCTTGTATAAAATGATGGAACAATAGTTTAGTCAAATTAATGATTAATAATTGATAAATATATGTATATGTTAGATTGACAACGTGACAACTTATACAACCCGTGAATAAGGACTATGAAAGGATAGCACAAAAGAATTGTAACCAACTGACATACTGTATGTATATAACTGGAAGATGGTTTTATGTTTTTTATGTTTTGTCTGTATATGTTTGTCTTAAAAAAAATATTTAAAAAATGCACAAACTTGTCTTGTTGGCTTTCAGTTCATATAATTTTTGACAAAGCACAATATCATTAAATCAAAGCTGAGGACATGAGAGTTATTCCATCAGTCTTTCATGCCTTCATTAGCTGGGAGGCACTTTAAGTAACTGACAAAAGGATCAGACAATTGGTTTAACAACCTTAATAATTGTTCTTAGTGTTTTATGCAAAGCAAGGGTGTACATCATGCTTTAACAGGTCCAGCTAAATTATGATTTATTAATGTGACAAAACATAAATTATTAGGAATTACAGGAGAAATAATTATATTAACTGTGTTTTATTTATCTACATAAAATTTTAAGTTCAACGGCTTTACTCAGGCCCTGCCTAACTTTTTAGAGCACAGTCCAGGCAGGCCATTAAGTGTGGCTTACAGCAGGGGCATCCAAAAAGAGCTCAAAAAAGTCAAAATGGCAGGTGTGACTGCACAGTCAAAGACTCAACCTTTAACATGCATCACACATGCATTAAAAAGCAATGGGATTTTGACTGCATGGTCATGCCTGCCATCTTGATATTTTTTGACACGCCTCGATACCCCTGCTCAGCCTGAAATAGATTATGTGCTCCTGGAATGTTGCATTTTGCATATCCAGTAAGTACTATCCATATTATCTGAGTAAGGTATTTTAAGGTAGGCCAATGATATCACCCCACTGTTTCAGGAGTTTAAAATTAAGAGGGAAGAGTGACTAGGGAAGAGTTATTCAGTGAGCTCATACAGGTGAGATTTCCTTTCACTTCTTCTGCTTTCTCCTTTGTGTCTGTGTCTAGATTGCTAGCAAGGATTTGCTCTCTTATTGTTTAAGGAGCCCATCTAGATAGGGGATACTGAACAATAATGATACAGAAAATAGGGCCATGTCTTCATTTGCAGTTCAGTCATTCAGTCATAGCACTTACTAGCTCATCATTCAGCTTGAATGGTGGGTCTGATTTTCTAACTAACATAAGAAAAAGAACAATTGGTAATAGTTAAACCCAAATAACCTTTTCTCATATTTAATCTCAATAATCCTGCACTGAAGGTAAAACCATTTCCATCACGCAACCTTTCTTCTTCTTCACTGGACAAAGGTGGCTTTTTCTACTTTATCTACAAACTGTAGGATGTCTGCTGCAAGGAGCGCTGGTTCCTCAAAAGCTGCAAAATGACCTCCTCGAGGCATGAAGTTGAATGAAACGATGTTAACATACTTCTTTTGAGCCCATGACCGAGGAAAATGCAAGACTTCATTGGGAAATGCGGCAATTCCTGTGGGAACTTCCACAGGGAGCCTGCAAAGCAATGACGTAATTGAACAATGAAAGGCATGATCTTCTCCTAACAATATTGCTTTCTTGAAGCACAAACAAAAGATAAAGAGGCACAAAATATAACCCTGTCATAAACCTTATAACACCAGGCTGAAACTTTGCCTACTAATAAAGATGGAAAAGAAAAAGAACTAAAACACGTTAAGGAAACCCTCAGAATTCATGGCTATCCCAAATGGGCCTACATCAAATCCCTCCCCAAAAAGACCAAGCAGGAGCTACTCCATAACAGACAAAGAAGAGAATAACAGTTATTGAATTACACCTGGAGGCAGACTGACAGCCAATGCAGCTTATGGAACAAAAATATAACATGGACCATCCTAGAGATGCATATAGCAATCTATGCAGCGGCATTTTGCACCAGTTGCAATTTCCAGATGCTCTTCAAGTTAAGCTGCATATAGAGGACATTACAGTAATCCATTCTGGGGATGACTAAGGCATGAGTAACTGTGAATAGAGCCATATGGTCCAAGGAGGAGCACAACTAGTACATAAGGAGCCTCGGTGGAGCAGTGGTTAGAGTGCAGTACTGCAAGCTACTCCTACTGCAATTTGGCAGATCGAATCCTACAGGCTCAAGGTTGACTCAGCCTTCCATCCTTCCGAGGTGGGTAAAATGAGGACCCAAATTGTTGGGGGCAATATGCTGACTCTGTAAACTGCCTTGAGAGGGCAGTAAAGCACTATAAAGTGGTATATAAGTCTAAGCGCTATTGCTATAACACAAAGTTTTGCAATAACCCTCTTCAACATGACTGCTATCTGTTCCTCGAGCAGGAGTTGTAAGTTTAGAAAGATCCCCAAACCGTGCAGTGGATCTGAGAATGCCAGACCCCATCCCATTACCAAAGATGATAAAGTCTGAGAAGGTCCCAAAACCCAGAGCCACTTAATCTTGCCAGTGTTCAGCTGAAGCCTGTTGTTTCTCACATTGTTTCTGGGATACTCAGTGATTCCAACGAAGAGTTTTCTTAGGATAACTTCATACAGTCACATTTAATTGGCTGGAATGTATATGATAGAGGAATGGACTTCAGACATTATACCTAGTATGCTGGCTAAATTAGGAATGCCTACTCTAGAACAAGAACCCCAAAAGAGAAATATGGCAATCACTTACGTCTCATGTTTTTCTATGCCAATACCCTTCCCGAAACATTCTTTGTAGAAGCGCATTGAAGAAACCACACAACCTGAAGCCCAATAGATCATTACATTTGTGAGCAGGTCATCCAGAGTGAACTTTCTGGAAAAAAAAAAACAATTGATGTATTGCAATTAATCTCTTTTCACAAGCTGTAGCTAGTGCAGCTCAAAGGAAATGTAGGTCAGTTGCCTTTTGTCTTTACCCTTTCTTTCTTTTATTTATTTATTTTTGTCAATTGTTTACAAGATAATAGGTATAAGTAAAAACATAGTTATGAATACATGGATACATATAAGAAAAATAAAAAAAATATAAAAGAACAATAGGACAGGGACAGTAGGCACGTTGGTGCGCTTATGCATGCCCCCTACAGACCTCTTAGGAAAAGGGTGAGGTCAATAGTAGACAGTCTAAGGTTAAAGTTTTTGGGGTTAGGGGAAGAAACCACAGAGTCAGGTAGACATTGACCACTCTGTTGCTGAAGTCGTATTTCCTGCAATCAAGTTTGGTGCAATTAACCTTGAGTTTGTATCTATTGTTTGCTCTTCTGTTGTTATGGTTGAAGCTGAAGTATTCATTGACTGGTAGGACATTGCAATGTATGATTTTATATACTGTACTATACTTAGATCGGACCGAAGGCGGTGTAGTTCTAGGTTTTCTAGGTCTAGAATTTCGAGTCTGGTGGCATAAGGTATTCTGTAACGAGTAGAGGAGTGGAGAACTCTTCTTGTGAAATATTTCTGGACTTTCTCAACTGTGTTAATATCAGATACGTAATGTGGGTTCCAGACTGATGAGCTGTATTCGAGTATTGGTCTAGCAAATGTTTTGTATGCTCTAGTTAGTAGTGTGATATTACCAGAGAAAAAGCTACATAGGATTAGGTTAACAACTCTTAATGCCTTTTTGGCTATGTAGTTACAGTGGGCTCTAGCACTTAGATCATTAGAGATGAGTACTCCAAGACCCTTGACAGAGTTTGGATCATCAACATGGTCTTGACTATTCAGCCTGTATTTTATTTTCTGATTTATTTTTGCCAATATGTAGGACAGAGCATTTATTTGTTGAGATTTGAAGTTGCCATTTGTTTGACCGTTCTGATACATAGTCAAGGTCTTTTTGAAGGGTAGCAGTATTGTCTATGGTGTTGAATAGCTTTACATGACTCTATTATGAGTCCTATTGGGTTTTGCCAGCCATTTCAGGCAGCACAATTGATATTCCTCTTCCCCTCCTGGCATCCAAAGCACCACTAGCCATTGCACTCTTCCTCAACTGCTGTATCAAAGAAAAAAATATGATTATTTTTGTTTCTACTTGGAAACCGCTTCTGGATCTTGTGTTTGAGGTGGAAAAAATCGAAACTTTGATTTTGGGTTTAACTGATTAATAGGTTTGTTGTTATAGAAATGGCTAGTTTATATTATTATGTAAAAGTAAAAAGTTGAGGTTTGATGCTATTATCTTACTCTACTGCACCAAAGGGAGTCAGATATTAACACCTTTTCCTGATTTTTCCCCTCTGCCCCACATTTTTCCGTTCCCCTTTCCCTCCCTTATTTTTCTACTATTTTCTTTCAATTTTTTGTATTTTATTTATTTATTTATTTATTTATTTATTTGATTTGCCAATTGTTTACAAGATAATAAGTATAAATGTATACATAGTTGTGAATACATGAAATGGGTACATATAAGAAAAATAAAAGAATAAGAGAAACAACTAATAAACAAAATATGTCAACAGGAAAAGAATTGTTAGGTTTCAGCTCCCATAATTTCAGGCCAATATATTAATGGAGTTGAAATCGAAAATTACTGGAGCACCCCAAACTGGGAATGGCATTTTCAATATGAAAATGAAACATGCTGAGTACTTCTATCCTAAGATTGCTTTTATGTCTCTGGAATCTATTTGAGGCTTGTTGCCTTTTACATTCGTCTAGCAGCTGTGTACAATGGGGAAGCCTTCTTTAACTTCCCACCCTGGGTGTTACATTTAACTTGCTTGGAAATTTCATCATTTCATTCAACTTTAATCTTTAAAAATTATCTTCCTCAAGGGAGTAAAATTATTACATGGCTAAGCCCTTAGGTGGAATGCCTTCTCCCACCTAGTTATCCTCTGACAACTTAGTATTCCAATTTCCTACTTGATCTTACATACCAACAAAATATACCTTAATTTGGCTTCCTCTAGATGGGTAGGAATAGTTCACATCATCCTGTGAAAATATTTACAGACCCCTCACATTTTGGACATAAATTGTTTCAACTCCTTCCCTCAAAATGATGCACTGCACACCAGAACAACTGCACACCAGAACAAATAGACACAAGAACAGTTTTTTGCAGAACACCATCACTGCTAAACAAATAATTCCCTCAACACTGTCCAACTTTTTACAAAGTCTGCACTACTATTACTATTAATCTTCTCATCACTTCTTATCACCCATCCCCTCCCACTTGTGACTGTATGACTGTAACTTTGTCATTTGTATCCTTACGATTTATATTGACTGTTTCCTAGTATGATTTGATTGTTTATTGTACCCTATGACTATTATTAAGTATTGTACCTTATGATTCTTGACTCTTGACGAATGTATTTTTTCTTTTATGTATATTGAGAGCATTTGAACCAAGACAAATTCCTTGTGTGTCCAATCACACTTGGCCAATAAAAGAATTCTTCTATTCTATTCTTCTTCTTCTACTACTACTTAAGACCACTAACTAGAAACTAACTATTGTAGTCCGACACATCTACGGAGTCCTGGAGTGGCTGCTATGCAAACCTATCTGGGAATAAATCCCAGTGATTTTATTTCAGATGTAGATGTCCATAACATTTGGTATAAAGAAAATGAGAGAGGGCAGAGATGTCATTTACAGTAACTTTGACAATCACATTACTCTTTTTGGCTGTGATTTGCAACATTATTTTAGTCACTGCTGTTTTCTCTCCAGAATGGTAAGAGCAAATGAATAGTTTGTGGTATTTATTATTCATGAACTGAATTTCATCATTTGCAATTAATAATATATTAAGTAAGAAGATGACAAAAACACAAGCAATTACCTCCTATTAATGCTGCATCTGTCATTCAGTGGAAGGAAAATGCATTCAAATATTTCTGAACTGTACTCACTTTTAATAAACACACTTATAAATCTCATCTCCCAGTATACTATTGCTTTCAAAGCAAGCTACAAGCTGCTAACAATTTTTTAAAATGAAGGTTTGAATGAAATAAAACTATTTGATTTCATTTCATTCAAATCAATTAATGTGAAAGGAAATCATAAGATTTTAAAAGCAGTCATAATCTCTCATGTGCTCTGGGTGGGTTCCAGCAACAATAATAACACGTTAATAAGAAGTTGTCAGATAAACTATTTGTTGTCATCCAAAATTAATTTGACTCTTTAGGGTCATGGAACATAACCTACATCCTAGGAGCAAACATGATTTTCTCATGATTTTTTGTATAGCTTTCAACCCTATCGTCAGCAGATCTCTTGACTTTAAATCAGGGGTCCCCAACTCCAGGACGACAGCCCACTACCAAGCCTTGAGCCATTTGGAACTGGGCGATGGAAGTGGCAGGTGAGCGCATACGCACATCCTCACTTGTGAGAGCAGTGGGTGAGGATGTGCACATGCTCTATTTGCCCCGTGCCCACCTCTCGTGCAAATCGAGCTGCACGTATGCTTACACAGCACTCACATAGAACCATCTCCTCTTTCCTCCCCCGTCAGTCCGCAAAATCGGAAAGGTTGGGGAACTTTGCTTTAAATGAATAAAATTGAATCCTAATATTAGATATTGTAGAATGCAGGTCAGAGGGAACTAATGGACTCATTCCCTTTCTGTGAGCATGTATGGACCTATAAGTTGATATATCACAGATCGTAGTATCTCAATTACCTTATTTTGTTAAAATTATGTTTTAAAATGTTTTAAATGATCATAGATCCTTCTCCTTTTCAAGAAGATTTTAGCAGAGAGATTCCATGAGGATTTTGTGCAATGTACATGTTCTATTGCTAAACCAAAGTTTTATCTTTCTTTCTTGCAATGCCATAATATATTAGCTCTGTAATTTGCAAGGAAGTGCACAATTTGTAAACAGCTTTATAGTAAGGATGAACAATCTATACTAGTCCCAAGACAATCAATGTCTCTTATTGAATTTCATGGGGCATCAAGTTGGAAGTTGCTGAGGGAATGCTTCCTATTCATTCATTATTTGTAATTAACCATATTTTAAAAATTAGCCAGGTAAAGCAGTGATAAAGTACACAGATATTTTATAGATATCCCTGACTCCACAGCTTACCCCCAGGAAAGATGCCCCACAAATTAAAATTCAACTAAGAATTAAGTTAGAACACGGGAGAGCTAAGTATTGCTGTTCTATAAAAGTTCTTTTTCCCCCCAGTTCAATAAAATTACAATCATCAGCAGAACTCATTGCTTGTTTAGTCCTCAGAGGAGCATTGCGGAGCACTGCTAAGCCATCGGTGTTTAAGCATATGAACACATAACAGAACAGCATAAAATAAATAGATACAATATAATTTGGGACAATTAAAGTCAGCTAAGATATGCTGGGGGTGGAGTGGTAAATAATACCTACTTTTCTAGTCCTCCATCTTCTAGTTTTTTAAAACTGGAATCAGTCCATGTAGAAAACTTCTCCAAGACGTATGCAGCCAATCCCACAGGAGAGTCATTCAAGCCACAGGCTAGGAAAAAAGAGAAAGTGGTGAATTTCAATTTAGATCAGGGGTTTCCAACCAGGGGTGGGATTCAGGCAGTTTGGACCAGTTCAAGGAAGTGGATGTTAAATGTACATCTGATTCACTGAACCAGTAGTTGAACTGACCGGCTGGCCCCACCCACCCCTCCCCTCCCCTCCCAAGAGTCTCCATGTGGCCCATTTTGGATGCAGGTAAGTGTAGGGTCTGCACGGAGGCTCTGGGAGGACGTAAAACGGCCCTTCTGGAAGTCTGGAAATGGGCCTGTTTCCGGATTCCGGAGGGGCTCTGAACCCCAGGGGAGACCATTCACCATCCCAGAGGCTTGAGGGAAGCCTCCGGACCCTGGGGAAGGCAAAAAATGGCCCTCCCGGAAATTCCAGTAGGCCACGCTCACCAAGCAACCAGGCAGTGAACCGGTTGCTGGGATTTTTGAATTCCACCCCTGTCTCCAACCTTGGTAACTTTAAGACTTTTGGACTTTGCTTTGCTGAGGAGGCTTTGCTGGCTGAGGAATTCTGGGAATTGAAGTCCACAAGTCTTAAAGTTGCCAAGGTTGGAGACCCCTGATTTAGATAACTCTCAGAAGCTACTTTTGTAATGGAATGTTTTCTTTTGAAGGAGTAGGATTGTTGCCTAGGGAACTATTCAATAAAAGCGTGAGAAGCCCACAACTGTGTAAAAGGCAGAAAAAGAAACTTAGAAAGGATCTGCTCTACCTTATTATGTGGTTAAAAAAAAGACAGTGAGAGATTTGTACTTTCAGACTTGTAAGATTCTGTTAATGTAGCTTTACATTAACAGAATCTTACAAGTCTGAAAGTACACATCTCCCACTTTCTCTTTTTGCTACCTGATTCCATTACTAATTAAGCAGAATTAAAAGTAGAAACATCTTGTCATGTTTCCTGCCTCATCTACTTGGGAGCTGATGGATACATAATAAATTACTATCTTCAGATGCCATTTAATAAACAGATGCATGACAAGGAACATTCTGGGAGAAACAGCATATATCAAACACTTCAAAAGAATTAAGATACTACATACTGTTTACCAACATTAGCAGTTCACCATTTAATCCAATGTTCTAATAAAGGGAAAACCAGAAGCTTAAGAATGTTCCTTGCAACCTTCTTTATCATATTAACTATGAGGCTAAGTCAAGATTTGTCGCTGCTTTGTTGGCCTGCCAGCTTTCCCCTGAAGGCAGAACTACTACCATAAGGAAAAGAAGCTTGTTGTGCTGCTCATCTGTTTCAAAGAATGCTTCAGTTGGATGGATGGCAGTGCTTTTACTCATATACATATACTAGTACAGGTTCCACAACTCAAGGATTACTAACTATTGGAAATCCCAATAGGTATCTCCAGAGCTCAGTGACTACTGGAGTAGACTTCCCTAGCCTTTTTTTGAAAACCTGTCTCAGCATGTCAAAGCACAGAGCTTTGATTGCACCATTGCAGACATTTTTGGGATCACTTCTAGCAATCATCCATGTGTCAGAACCCCCAAGACAGTGGTGCAATTTTCCAGTTAGTTATAAATGCCAAAATAGGGATAAGGTGTTTATTTTACTATTTTTAAGGCCTTAAAAATGGGAGAATGTATAGGTTAAGATCTTGAGAAATCTCGGGTATATATCAGGCAGATATAAGCACATAAACAAATATAATGTGCACAAGCCAAATCCTCTTTAGTTTTCTAAGGAATCACAGCCAAGAGCGAAAGAAAAACTGTAAAGTTTCCTCACAAAAAGAAATGATTTCTAGTAACTTATAATGAAAAGATGCTGAAGAATATTAGCATGATATAGGATGAACTTCAGAGGCTTTACCGTAGAAACAAAGTACGGAGTAGGAAAAATAGGTTAACTGAACCCACAGAAATTAATCTGACAATATCTAAAGATGGTAAGGGCTATCAATTGATATTTTTCATTTCATGATATGTATGTGCCCATCATTGTCAGCTTCATGAGCAGCTATGCAAAAGCACACTGTAGGTTGCATGCACTGTATTAAGATAGAAACACAGGCAACTCTAGAGGCAAAAATAGAAGAAACTGTAATTATCAAACTAGGCCAGCCATATTCTTTGCTAAGAAAAAACTTGTTTAATTGTTCAGACAATTATGAATTATCTTTCTTTATTATATCTCTTGATTGCCAGAGGTATGTGAGAGGCATTTGAGAACTGTGACTCATCATCCTCTTTGCTATCAACACATGAATATGACCATATTTACACATGTCTGGACATGTCCTGACAATTTGGAGAGAAGCAAAGGCACCCAACGATGCACAGAAGTGTGCTGGTCCCTTTTGCTGAGGATCATATTTCTTTATTTCACTGATTTTGTGATCAGCCCCAATCTTCATACTCTGAGCAACAATCAACAGTGTGAAAATACAGAATACAGGCAATCCTTGGCTTGTGATCACAATTGAACCTCAAATTTCTGTTGCTAAGTGAAACAGTTGTTAAGTGAGTTTTGTCCTATTTTACTAGCTTTCTTGCCATAGCTCTTAAGTGAATCACTGCAGTTGTTAAGTCAGTGGCCCAGTTGTTAAGTCAATCTCGCTTCCCCATTGATAATAGAGTAGAGTAGAGTAGAGTAGAGTAGAGTAGAGTAGAGTAGAGTAGAGTAGA